GTCCCGTAGTCGGCAGTACGCGGCTGGCATCTGCCCACGCAAGGCGCTGGTTGATCAGGCTGCTTCCCGGCCGCTCCAGGCGTGTTTTGTGCGGCATAGTGCATCGATCCCGATAAACCACACCGCATTTCGGCTTTTAGCTGCCAAGCATATGCAATACATAATTTCAGCTGTTCTTAAAATCATCTTATGTTGATTCCCTAAGCCTCTTCTGTCAACCTGTTTCACTGGTAGTGACGGTGAAGCACTGAAGATGTGGGGTTGTGAGTACCAGGTTGCGGATAGGGACTTCCCAAGCTCCCTCTTACTGCACTGTAATTGAATTCGTGACCTGTTTGCTGTTGATGGACAGTATACTTTCTTCATAACAGCAGCATTTTAGCACAATGTCATGGGGATGAAAAAAAGGTTTACCCTAGTGCTGTAAGCAGTGCATGAAAGAATTAGTGTTTTACTGTGAGACAGTGGCTGGTACACAACAAAGGTGTGTATTTCCTTGGTAGCCCAAATATCTGGGAAACACAGGAGACTAAAAGTAATCAGAGAAAGAGAGAGAGTGAGAAAGTATAAGAATGCTGGGTCTGTTCAGCCCGGAAGGAGAGTTTAAGTAAGGTCTGAGTATTAGTTTATTGAGCAATGCTACCACTTTAAAACTAACTAAGCCAATACTAAAAATGTTATCCAAGTCCTCCAGTGCTGTCATCTGAGATCAAAGGTCTATTGTCATACTTTTCCATCCTGTACTCTTTTCCCATACCTACAAAGATTCTTGCAGCTCCTGACTTTTAAACGGGAAACCACTTGCAATGAGAATAGTAAGCACACTAATAGTGTGTTGGTAGTTTAAAAAAATTGTACATAGAATAATAAAATCCATCTGACAGCTGATATTCCAAGGCCTACATATTGCCTATTCAACTAATAGAAAAGATGTATCCAAGCTGGTAAATGCACTGGAAGACCCCAGTTAACAGCACAAGATCACAACCTGACTCACATTTCATAATAAAAAATTGAAGCTTCTCAGTTACGTATTCTTACCAGATGTCCTTAACACAATTAAACTCTGCTAATTCACTTACCTTGAACCATCTAAATGCATTATAGTTTCACAAGCATTTTCAAAAATTAAGCATATTAGACTGCTGTAACAGAGCACAGGTCACAAAGGTATTGCCCTGCAGGAGAGATAGAAGGCAGTAGAACCCCATTACCACCCTGACTGTTTCAGCAAGAGACTCATGGCTTTACATAGGTGTGTGTTCACCTCTGAAGTTTAAACGTTTTGGTGTTTTACTTTGGGTAGCTGATCACACAGAAAAACATCTCTGCATAGTACAAGGAAACAGGGACTTTTGTGCTGTCCTTGTCAGAACAAGTCCACAACTCTGAGTAGCAGAGATAACCTGCTGGTTACGGTGTGATCAGGACTTTGGAAAGTTAAATATACCAGAAGGAAAAGGTACAGGTTGACGCGGTGCAGCCAGGTTAAGGGTGGGCTGCAACCATCTTAGAGCACCTTTCCTTTACATCCAGCCCCAGCATACTTTACTGAAAACATATAGAGGGATTGCTTTACTTCAGTTGCCATATTCACTCACCACCGAATATAGCAAGCTATCCAAGTGCATGTTATCCTAGAAAAGAAGACAAATATAGGTGCATCTGCAGAAGCTGGAGACTCAGGATTTCAATTCCAAATTTTCACAATTGAAAAAGATACAAAAATTACTATCTAAAGGTTGTAGTTGAACTTACATAATTTCCAACAGGATGTAGTATTACTATAAGATACTGACAGGCCTCAGTTCCAGAGTAAACCAACTCTTGCATTTCTATCATGCAAATCTGTTGAAATACAAAGGTATTTACCCTCAAGAAGTTAGAATATGTAAGTGATCTAGCAATAAAAGTTTCACTCATTAGCTGAATTAGCCCAGGGAAGAGAGATCAATGCCTTCCCTGGGGAATGTTCAGTTGAAGGCTTGATAAAATCAACAGTGACCAACCAGCTCATCTCTCCATTTCTCCCACATAATTCAGGTGTCCGAACACAGGAAAGGGAAGTGTTTACTATTAATTCTAGGTGCATTAGAGAAGCCTCCACACTAACTGTGCTCCTGAACCACAACATTCAGTGATTATTCCCTCTTTCCAACAAAAATGTTTCCTAGGAAAAGTATATTAAAAAAACTAATAACAGACATGCTTTTGTAGGTAACTATCTGCTGTGGGGCAACGTAATTTATTAACTATATTTTAAACACAAATCAATCTGGTTATTCCCAAATGATCCACAAGTAAAGGAACATGTTGTATGCAATAAATGCCCACTTTTCCATATAAGTAGAATAATATGCTTTCCCAAAACAGAACACTCAGCATAACATCCCCTCCAATCTAATGCGCAATAACCTATTTCAGCTATTTCAGTTCACGACATTCTATCTAAACACTTCAAAATATTAGATTCTGGTAATGGGCTGCTGAAAAAAATAAGTACTTTTTCATAAAAATAAATTACTTTTTCACTTGTAGAACAAAAACGTGCATGCTTAGCACTGCCCTAAAGCATTTTAAACATGCACCAGCACACTACAAACTGGAACTTTTTTTCCTATTTTATTCAACCATCAACCTGTCAAAAAAGCCAGAATTTGAAGTTTTATATTGCATTATATAATTATTACGTATTATATAAAATGAGAACATGAGCAACAGGCACCACAGTGGTGCATAAGATACTTGCATAAGATACTTGCATAACAGTATCTTATGCAAGCTCCTTGATAACTTGATTATGTTGGTACTGAAGAAAAGCTTGCATAATGTAAAAAAATCTTATTAAATGGGAAAAAGAAGCTATTACTTTTCATTACAGAGAATAACAGACACACAAAGATTAGACACCTTTGGCAAGTTTGTCATCTGAATAAATACTAGTTTTCAATGCAGAGGTAGTAAATCCAGTAGAATTCATAATACAACTGGTCAGGCAAATAAGTCTTCCAAATTTCAGTTTACTAGTCTTGTTAGACGTCAAGATCTTAAATAGCATTTGTTTCTCTATGTTTTCATCAGATTTCTATTTGTGTAGACAATATCTAACATCTGTTTTCATGTCTACCTTGGCAAACTCACTTGGAAGAATATCATGATTGGTAAACATCATAACACATCAAATTACTCTAAGATCTGAGACTCATCGAACAGTTTGGGTTGGGAGAGACCTCTAAAGGTCATCTAGTCCAATCATCTAGTCCAATCCTCTTGCAATTACTTCAATGTTTACACGGATGGAGCAACTACCAGCTCTCTGGGCAACCTGTTCCAATGTTTCACCACTCCCATTGTAAAAATCTTTTTTATGTCTGGTCTGTATCTACCCTTCTTTAAGATTATAAAAATTACCCTTTGTCCTGTCACAACAGGCCCTGCTAAAAGGTTGTAATTGTCCTTTTAAGTATTGAAAGGCTGTGAGGTCTCCCTGGAGCCTTCTCTTCTCCAGGTTGAGCAACCCCAATGTTCTACCCTCCAAGTCCCTAAGCCTGTCCTCCTAGAAGAGGTGCCACAGCCCTCTGATCATCTTCATGGCCCTCCTCTGGACTCATTCCAATAGGTCCATATCCTTCCTGCACTGAGCACCTGTCTTGGGTTACACAGATTCTGGTATCCACCTTTTCTTTTCTCTTTTCCCCAAATATGTCCTTTTTTTTTTTCTTTTTGGTGTTTTTCCTTCTTTAAAGAGACCGAACTGCTAGTGATTACTGACTCAAACATTTGACCATATATAGTGACTGCCCAGGCACTGTAAGACACTGGACTATCGGTGCCTATGGCTCAATCAGCAGTCTGCTTTGCTAACAATGTGCAGAGTGGCGACCCAGGCCAGGGGCTGAAGGCGAGCACATCCAACACCTCAAGCAACAAGCTCCGGTCACACTGAGCTTCTCATCCACCAACACTTCCAAGACATTTGACTCAAAGCTCCCAGCTTGTGCTTGGGATTGCCCTGACACAGATATAAGACCTTGCACTTGGATTTGTTGAACTTCATGAGGTTCACATGGGCCCACTTCTCAAGTCTGTCCAGATCCCTCTGGATGGTATCCCGTCCTTCAGGTCTGTCAACTGCATGACTCAGCTTTGTGTCATCTGCAAACCCAGTGAAGGTGCATTCAATCCATTGTCAATGCAATTGATGAAGGCATTACACAATAGTGGTCCCAGTAGAGACCCCTGAATGACACCACTTATCTATCATTCATCTCTATCTGAACATTGAGCCATTGACCAGTACTCTCTGGATGCGACCATCTAACCAAATTCTCATCCACCGAACAGTCCATCCATCAAATCTCTCTCTCTCCAACTTAGATCAAACTGATCGCTATTTTAATCCAACTTCTTCCTATGCTTCTGCTAGCCACACATCAAACTTTGAGACACTAAAATGGATACATATCTTAGACATGAATACTGTCAGTAAGAACTGAGAATACGTTTGATGTCAAGGTTAGTTTTCAAGCCATGGAACACTACGCTGCCAAGAGAAATGTGTGCCTTCAACTCCAAGCAATACTGGTTCACAGAATAAGGCAGCTCTAGGAAGAGCCTAGTGTCATCCTAAATGTACTCAATAGCCTTTAGCATACCTCTGTTTCCAATGTGTACACAGTGATACAGCACTGCCTGAAGTTAAAATAAACCATACCCTAGCATTCAAACACATACTGATAACAATGTAGACAGAAAGTGACAGAATTAAACAAAAATTGAGTTCTGACATTTAACTGAATATTTTCTCACTGCTGTGTATTTTCCTTATTACAAAAATTTATTTTGAATTAATTTCCCTTTAGAAGTATTATCTACTTTCTATATAATTCATATTTTTCAATATACATAAGCATGTACTTCTCTTCTTGAGTCATTTTGCAATTTCCAGTGAATTCATGGAAGTCTGAAATGAAGATGAAGCAGGGAGAGAAAACACAATGTATCAAATGCATATGCCGTTTTATTCCTATTTCCAAGGATGTGAGACAGGATACTAATCTTAAATAAGGGCAATGACACGTTAAAATTAGACAAACCTCAATTATTTTCTAGTAAATAAAATCAAATCATTATAGTACTGGATGCCAAACACAACTTTAAAAAGTTATATAGCTCTGGAATAAAACTTTAAAATTCAATTGTTTAAAAAATTTTGCAAGGAAAATCTTGAAAACTTCCTTCTTTTTCTGTCTTCAGCAATCAAGCCTATTCAGCAATACAGTTTGGAAGACAGATCTTCAACCCAGAAAGGCTTATTTTGACAGTCACTATTAGAAGGAGAATAGATCATATATTCCAAGTCCACAATATTTTTGTGACAATTTGCTGTGATGGTTCTCAGTCATTCCTATTTGTTTCCATGGTCTCTGCAAGACCATTACTTTTGTTCTCTTCTAGATATGTATCTCTTTTCTCAGTAAAAGTAGCAAACAGTGTATCCATCATTCCCAAAACTTCTAGTAGTTCCTCTTGATAGTCAATCTCTTTTCCTATAGCTTCCTGAAGTTTCAAGAACTGTTTATCAACAATCGCTGACTGCCCAACCACAGGCTGATAAATATCTGTAAAAAAAACATCACTTAAAAATCCACATATTTATAAAAAGGTGAAAATTATAGTAGCTAGTTAGAGATGCTTTTAAGGAATCTGGCATAAGTCCAACCCTGTGGACAAATAAAACAACTTTAATGGTGTTCCGTAAACAGTGGTCATATGTACTCAATGTAACAGTACGTCAAACTAATAAAAACATGTTTTTATGACCTCTAATACCATTTTTACCTCACAGAAGAAGTTACTTGTACTATGTAAGCATAGAAACATGAAGCATTAAAGGTACTTAGAGACCACGAGGAGCTTCCTGCAGCCAGTGCAAATCAGATACTGACTGCGGTTAGAGTTATCTGGCAATGTCTCTTTTTGGATCATTCTCTTGACGCTGACTTCATACTTATAAACAAACCCATAAAAGTTTGTTTTCTTTAAAATGTAGCACTTTCAACCTTATTTCCAAGCGAGCTATATAACTTCGAGAATCTTTTTTGTGTTGTCCTTACCAGTGATCATATCTGCAACAGTGACCAGCACAGGAGTAAATCGTGGCTCAATCACACGCCTGCAAAATTGGAAGACATTCTAGTTTTACTGCTTTTATCCACTGCACTTCTACCACCAACAAGCAGCTTTTTCACAAAGGCATACAGACAACTTCTTCATGAAGACACAGCACAGAACAGCAGTCACAGATGTAGGTCAAAAAAAAACCCCTATATGTGGTATTCACCCTCCTCCTTTTGGGAAGACAGTGGGGGTTGGAGGACTGCCAAAAGTCTCAGGGACATGAGGACATAACAGATCAAGGGTTGAATTTCTGTCAAAGAAGTAGAATATCTCATACTATCAGCAAAACTGTCCTGTGCTAGCCGGTAAACTGTTTCAGACCTATCCCAGCTTGCGATCAGAATGCAAAAGGCTTGTGAGAGCAACAATGTTCTACCTGTGATCTGCTGAAACTCTATGACAAGTTACTGGAAAACAAAAGTGTCAAAATAGTTAGAGGGAACTCAGGTTAAAATAATACCTTGCCACAAAGGTAAGGAGGAGATTAACTTGCTTCTCATCTCGGCCTGCAAGTGCACTCCTCAATGTTCCTCTGCGATGTAGTTCCTGCATAACTGCAACTGTAACTTCAGGAGTATGAAGCATGATGGGTGGCTGGACACACATAGAAGAGTTTAGTACCAAAGCAATATCTTTACACACAACACAGGGCTGATATCAACAAAACCAAAATGGAAACCCAAGTTTGATTCCTTTCTAGTTACACACTAAGATAAAATTAGTTTGACATATAGAAAAAATTCACATCAGGTGATATCACACAACTCTGATGAGAAAAACCAATGCCTCACCTCCAGGACTGCATCAAGAGCCTTGGAAGACTCAAAGCTCTTCAGCAGCTTGTCGTATTTCCGCAAAACACGTTTTACAGGTTTACTGACACAGAAATCTTCCTAGGATTCGAAGAAGAGTTCAGAATTAGACAAATACACACACATAATACATTAGACGTATTACCATGAACAAGCTTGTATGTCTTTATATATTTCCTCCCTTCCCTTTCTCCAACCCAGCACATTCCAAAAAAACTATTTTTGACAAGGGCTTCAGTACCTATTTTCTCACCACCTCATACCTGTTTTGGCATGTAAGTTCTTCCTTTCACATAGGTCCTATATGCTGGTTGTCTCTTCTTTTGTGACTTTTCATTCCTTTCTTCAGGTTTTCTGTGTTTAACATTTAGCACCCCATTGGTCATGCCTACAACTATAGTTTCATCTTCAGGCTAGAACAAAGAAATCACAGAGTTAGGACCCAAGTATTTTATTTGCTGCTGTATCATGGAGATTTTTAAATTTTTATGCTTTGTGATAAGGCTCAAATAATAGTGTGACAGATACCTCTTTGAGGTCCCGTGATCAAATACTTTGTTCAAAACAGGGACAGCTTCAAGGCTATGTTCATAAGCAATATTACAGATTAACTAGAGAATCGAGCTCAATTATGCATTAACATCCTTCTGTAAGTATGAGGTTTTGTTTTTTTCAATAGTATACAACTGCCTTTGGCCTGTTGCCTTACAACAGGCATGACCACCACGTAGGAGAAAGCAAAGCTATCATGGAACAGCAGAATTTTGAGAAACAACTGAAAGTTGTTCAAAACACTGGTCACTTACATAACAAAGTAGGTATAAATTTCACTCAAAGAAGCTGCAGATGCTCTGTGCCTTTAAGTGTTCAAGGCCAGGCTGGATGGAGCAACCTAGTCTACTGGAAGGTGTCCTTGCCTCTGGCAGGGGGGGCTGGAACTAGGTGATTTTTTAAGATATCATTCAAGCCAAACTATGATATAATAAAAGGCTACAGAATTATGACAGGTATGATGGAGATCAGTGGGCCAATGTCTCATTTAAAGGCATCAACTGAAGATAATGAAGGTTCAAGTGGAACAATAAGAAGCAATTCTTCACACAACAAGTATGAGAAATGTGGAACTCCTTGTCAAGGAATCTAGGCAAAGTTTCAAGTTTGCCGAAGCTCAAAAGAGACTGAGTAGGCTTATGCAAGAGAAATTCTTTAACTTACACAGAAATCACACTCTGCTGAGCTAATTTCTCATGTATTTATTACTCAGGAGGAATATAATCAGTCATCCCACTTTGCATCCAACAGCACTCTTCTGAAACACTTCCAATAGCCACGAAAGCAAAATTAATTACTTTAGTGACTTAAAAGGTATCAGTAATTACCTTATCTAGGAAAATGTCTACTGTACTTACCGATAATGCAAGACTGAGGATGGATGTTGCATAATTAAAGCTGTGGACTACTTTGTAGGATGTAGTACTGTAAATCTTCACATGCCTATACAGAAGAGTAATGACAGAACTATTGTTAGTAGTGCCTTATCATAGTCACTTTACAGGAATTTCATCACTCTCAACTTCTATAGATCATTTAAGGAAACTGAGTATTGATACGATGCATTCCCCAGACTACCACTGAGCTTCTTAATTATTACTATTAAAAGATATCCACAAGTCAAGACAGGATTGCTCTTACCCCAGAAAAGATGAAAATGGGGCAAGGACAAGAGAAGAAACTGAAGGCAGATGTAGTGACTATCTGACTTCAGAAACGCTTATTAGGAAACAGCATCACTTCAAATTTGTTCTTAAATTTTAAAGGTAAGATCTATTAGCAATTTCTGGAAGTAAATCCACAGATATTGTATTCAGCTCCTCCTTAATGATTTCATTGAAAGTATCAAATATTTAAAAAATGGGAAAACAAAACATTCTCTTACAAGGATGAACTGTAGTGTTATGTAATCATAAAGCCTGAAGTAACCTAGGAAATACACAAGGGAGGAGGGAAACAGACCACTGTCATTTCAGACCACTTCATATTTCTAATGTTTTAGAGACAACAGACCAAGCACCAGTATTCACCAATTTAAACCAACCAAACAAAAAAGCAAGAAGGTCATCTTTCATCTGTCATCTCAGGTATAAAAAGCAACAGCATGAGACAGAAAACTCAGGCTTTTTAAAAGTGAATACTAATACACTTTTAGCTATTTAAACCGTATTAAAGAATAGTTACTTTACAGAGACTGCAAAGGTCAGTTCAGAAATTAAAAAAACCCAAAACACTTATTCAGAAGTTGTCCATGTGCATTCCCATATGGCACATGCAATCCTTACTGACATTCAGGTTAGTAAGAAGAAAAGGTTAAGGTATATCATAGAATCATAGTACAGTTCAAGGTGGAAGAAACCTTTCAAATGTCATCTAGACCAACTCCCCTGTAATAAGCAGGGACATTAGTTAAATACCTTGGCCCCAAAACCTGTTCTCAAGTAAAGCCCAAAAAACATGGACAGATTCACAAATCCTTTCTGTTCAAAGGAATAAAAGTTCTAAAGAATTTAAATCTCAAAAAGCCACAAAATGTACTAACCTGTCCAGGGATCCTGACAATAACCTTTGTCCAGAGCTGTTCAGGCATAAACAAGTTACAGTTTTGTGATGATTTTTAAGTGAAACTAGTAACTGTCCGCCTTTTAGTACATCCCAAACTTTGACATATCGACCTCCTGTGAAAAGGAAGCACATAAAACAGTCTTACATACGTACACATTTACGCTTCTCTGAAGTTCTCACAGAATAATACAGTACCTCCTTCATGACACAGTTTTCTGTACCTACTCACCATCCCTTCCATTATGACTGTCTCCTGGGACAAGACACACTACAAGCCTCCTCCTTTTTAGACCATTCTAAATGGAGCTGAATGATTCAACATACTCCTCACCAAAAAACAAAAATCTGTAAACCACTGGGTCACAGGACTTGTGATGCAATGGCAAGAAGAGACTAAAAAACCTTGTCAACATTAAGAGAAAGATACAGTCCCATCTTTTCAAAACTTCTTAAGTATGTTTATTCCTTCACTTCAGCACTGGGCTAATTAAAGTCTGTATTTTGTCATTAAAAATGTCTTTTTCTGGGTGGGTCTACGACAAGAATATCAAAACAGAGACAAAAACAAAAGACCCCTACTTACGCCCTCCAAATAAACACAGATTCCTAAAGAAGATATTTGAGAAATCTAGCTGTTACATCACTTACCACTTCATTACGAAACTAAAGCACCACACAAAAAATAAGTAGCTGTAGTATTTCTCAAATTACGACTGCAGAAAAGATATTTGATTTATTTCATTTTATTGAATTACCTGCAGATACTAGAAGTCCACCAGAAGGGAACAGAAGCACGCTCTCCACAGGATGGCCATGTTCTATTGTCATGACACTACTTTTTGTTCGTGCATCAAATAGTTTCACAGTGTGATCATAGGAACCTAGAAACACCACCATAAATGGTTTCAGTTTCATAATTTCAATTATTTCAGGAACTAAAACAGCCATGTTCTACAATCTAAAGGAGCTCCTGGCTAATAGTAACGTTTTAAACCACACACTTAAAAACTCTATGTGGTTTACCTTGGTTATTTTATAGCCTTCAGGCAACATAAACTTTCTAATTTTAGCCCTAGCTTCATCTCGGTCCTTAAAAGTAATTTGCTTTAATTTTATTTCACTTCCATTAATGAAGTGTATTTACAACAACAAATACTAGGCAACCTGATGAAACCTAGACTCTTGTGCCTCCGGATGTAAGGAATATTAGGGTTTTTTCAAAGCAGCTTACCACAGATTAATAGAAAGCTACTGCCAAGAAAACCAAAAGGAATGGTTTCAAAGAACTCTTCACGTGACCTTTCATTCTGGAGCCAGAAACTACTGTCCTGCTCTGGAACCGGATAAAATACCTCAGTCAACCCCAGCCAAAGGATACATTCACAGTATTTTCTTAACTTTCAAAAGCTAGTTAGAACAGTTCTGTTAACCCTAATAGGCTAAAACAAAAGATGTTAAAACTCAGTTCATGTTGAGTTTCCCCAAAACGTCAGTGTCAAGCTTAAAAACCAAGCAAAAAAAGGAAACAACAAAGTAGGCATTGTGTAGGAAGACTAATTCTCCACTATGAAAATACAATAAACAAGATCCTACTGAATGAAAAATCTTCTTTCTGCATTTTTCTTCAATTCAAAAGAAGCATAGATAAAGAATAAAATCGAACCTGTTATAAAGACATCCGCATTCACTTTACTTGCACAGCCGCATCTCACATAGTCAGTATGCTCACTATATGAGACGATTTCTGTGGCACTTGGAATATCCCACAAATTTGTTGAATAATCATCACCACCAGAAAATATCCTGTATTTATCGGACAGGAAACCCACTAGATGAACTGGTCTAGAAAACAAAGTCCACAATACCCAAAGTCAAAATACAATGTGTTTCAAGAAGAGTTAGTCCGTATGAGGAGTTTAATAAAGTATGTTAACTTAGAAGTGCAAGGTGGTTTTTTACATCAGAAGTTACAAAGCCTTACTTTAGAGGTTAAAATATTTTAGGTTTTGTATTTTCAGGCAGAAAAGGGTCCTGCTGACAGATGCTTACCTAAGCACTGATATGGTATGCTTTAAATGTTTTACAGGTCTCCTTGAAAGCTCATTCAAAAGCTCTAAATTCTGCACTTGTTACTTAGAGGTCTGTGTGCTAGCACTGTCCTTTAGAAAACATTTACAATAGTGAATTTTAAGAAAAATTTATTATAGTAAATTTTAAGTACGACTGGTTTGGACAATCTTCCCATCCTTTAAAATTGCTATTTAAATCTTTATTATCAACATAACATCCCAACAGAGAACGACTTATACGGAAAACACAGATACACAGATCTTACTACAGTTAACTTGGTCATTGGAACGTAACACTTGATCTACAAACACAGACCTCAAACAGAAACACTCACATCAACCTGGGTGATTCCCACTGAAAGGGGGGTTGTTGTTCTACATAGATGAAATACCCATTGGTCTTCCACAGCACAGCAACCTGTTCAAGCATTGTCTTCTCCTCACTGATACACAGAACTTCTAACTCCTTCCCCACCCCACCCCATCATGATGAACTTTTTATGTTTTGTTTTGTTTTGTTTTTTTAAGGGATCCCTTCTCTTCCTGGTATATTTCTTCATTGTTTTTGTTTAGACACTTTTTAGAACTCTTTTCCTGCCAGCATCAAACATAATGTACTTATCAGTGCCAGGTAGTCACAAAACTGCATCTACACAACATATTAACAGACACCTACTGGAAACAGAAAATGTATTTACTCTTCTCTATACTCTATGCATATTTAGCATTTAAAAAAAACCACCTCCCTCAAAATTAGAATTTAACTGTAAAATCTACTTTTCAGTTAAGATCTGCATGAGACAGTTGCAAGCAACATGTAACAGTATTACTCAGATTTTCAGCAACATACGAAGCAGGCACATAAGTACTATATCCTGGTGAGGCAGTGGCACGGGTTGCCCAGGAAAGTTATGGAGGGAAAAGCCAATACTGTCTTACTTAGTGTGCCCATCAAACTGCCTCAGTGGTGCTCTCCCACTGACATCAAAGAGGCGGATGCTGCTGTCCTCGCTGCCTGCAACAAGCAGCTGCCCATCATCCCTGTACGTGGCACTATATGCGGCATCTCTGAAGCGAGAGAATGTTTTGATGGGCTCCTGGGAGTAACGGCCATAAATGTGGATCTGGAAAAACAACAAGGCGTTAAATTTTCTTGTATCATATCAACACAAGGACAGCATCATAAAAACCTCAGAAAAGCCACTTACCCTTGAGGAGGCTGTGACAGCATAGTTGTATGGTGGGACTGGGGAGAAGTCAATTTTACTTACTGCACCAAATTCCTTTATCTGAACGGGTGTCTAAAACAATAGTAGCAAAGATCATAAAAAAAACATTACCACACCATCAAATAGGAAAACAGCAAAATAAAATCTAATTTCTACAGAGCGTTCAAAACTCCTTTAGAACCAAATCGTTTCTTAATTATGATACCGAATTTCACTTCTGCCAGTCTCTACTCCGGCTCTCGTAGTTTTTTTCCAATACACTCAAAACAACTGATCCATTCGTTACGTGTTTTCATGAAAAACAAAAAAAACCTAACTCACGCATCTTTACAAAATAATTCGATTAGTTGCACGAAAGCGGTAAAAAAAATTTTCCAGGGTAGTAACTGAGGCTGTTGCGCCGCCTCCTACCTTGTACCCTCGCCAGTACAGCGTGTCCTGCGTGATCTTCTCGCCGAGCTTGGGGCACGCCTGCACCACCACCGGCTTGTACGCGGCCATGGCGCACCGAGCGCGGGGCCTCCGGGCACGGCGAAGGCTGCCGCGGCGTCTCCCCTGACCTCTCCGGGTCAGGCGGGGGCTGTCCGGGAGAGCCTCGGGAAGCGCGACGGGATCGCGACACGCTGCGGGCGCGCTATGGCGGCACCGGGCCGCCCGCGAGGAGAGGCAGCGCGGGCGCACAGTCAGCGCGTCATCGCGCGTCACTTCCCCGCCCGCGGCGGCCGAGGGAGCGCGGCCCGGGTGAGGCCGGGACGGGCCGGCGGGAGAGGGGACGTGGGGTAGCGGGAAGGTCGAAGCGGTGCTGGAGGTACCGGCATCTGTGGGGCTGCCAGGCTGGAGCGGTTTCTGGGTGGCGGGTGCTTCGCCCCCCTCCAGGGCGCAGGGAGGGCTCCAGGCGTGCCCGCGCTGCGGCGGATCCCCTCCCGATCGGAGGTTTCCCGCGGTCCTGTGAGCAAGCCCCTGCTGTCCCGGGGTGTCTGCCGTCGGTGTGGAAGGGATTTGGGGTTTTTCCTGCGTGTGTAGTAGAAGCCGTTTATTTTACGCAGGTCGCAAAAAGACACAAAGGGGCTTAAAGTCACTTTAGCTTTTCATTCAAGTCTGATGTTTTTAGGAAATAAAATCATCTTTATGAGCTTTTTCGTGGCTTGGTATAAACCAGATTGGTTGTGGTGAGAGGGTTTTTGTTGCAACCAGACAAATATTCTGAAGCATCACTTAGATGAAACTTCTACTGGCTTCATTATGGAATTTGGTTTAAACATCCACGTGATAAAATGTCAGTGGAGAATTCAGTCAGTAGCTTGTGACAGCAACAAGATTGATATTTCACCAATGTTTTGACTGTCAAAACTAAATGCCATAAAATTAAATTAAGCCAAATTTGGTGTATTTTTATTCATTGTTTCACCAGAACGTTCTTAACCTGTGTTACGTTTGTTCAGTTGCAGCTTGTTCAAAAAACTGGACTTGGCTGTACAGAATTGGACTTAGCTGGAAACTGTGAAGAAACATTTTGCATGAAACTTTTACGTGATTGAAGCCATGGCATCGTCAACAAACTTAGACGTTGGGGCCCAGTTAATTGTGGAAGAATGTACCACGAGCTATAGCCTGCCGCCCATGCCAGACATTAAAGTGGAGCATCAGCTAGACTCCAGCACAGAGGAAGGACCAGCTCAGAGTGTCACCATGGGGATGAAATTCATTTTGCCCAATAGATTTGATATGAATGTCTGCTCACGATTTGTGAAATCTCTGAATGAGGAGGACAGTAAAAATATTCAAGACCAAGTCAACTCTGACCTTGAAGTTGCATCTGTCTTATTTAAAGGTTGAATTTATGGTACAAATTGTTTTCTGTGGACTGTGTCATCCTGTTAAACTATTATGTTTTCTTTAAAAAAAATCCACTATCTTATACGTGGTATTCCCCTTTTTATTATATGATTAATGGATTATTAATGTAAAATTAATTTCCACCAAGATTATTTTTGAAATCACATTTCAGTTTTTCTTTTAAATTGAAAAAGCAGTGGCACAAAAAGCCCAAGTTAACAAGAACTGATGCTGATCATGGAAACATTTGTAGCATGTCCTACAACAGTATGGATCTTCACAAAACACTACTGAAAGCACTATGCGATCACTTTAATTTCAGTAGCTTTTAGCAGCATGTTTTATCTTTTCACTAGTATGAGGAAAAAATAATGTAGGTCATGTGGTTGCTTGTTTTATCAGTGTGGCTGTACAAGGCCTGTGGTCGTAGAAATGGGCTTGTCAGTTCAGTTTCATGCCACTTGAAAGCAAAAGCTGCTCCAATTCTGAATGCCTGCAGCTAATCCAGCCATTGCTGGGCAGCTTCATCAGAACTGATCCATGCTTTTTCACAGCTGGGGATATTGATACAGAACAAAATTAAGTCTTTAATTTACTTCCTCTTAACAACTGGGGTTTTTGGCATTTGCTGTCATATCTCAGACATGGTGTGTCTTCTCATGAGGTTGAATGTCACCCATTTCCTGAAACAAATGCAAACACAGGCCTATTGTGAATTTTGATGGTTTCACTGATTGGTATTGTTGGGCTGCAGTTCAGCCGTTGTAGTTTTCAGACTTTTTTGATTTGGAGGCCCTAAGTGCTCACCAGCAGACCTGCAGGTCTGAGCAGCAGATGTAAATCTGTCAGCAATAAGCAGGTTGCTGTCTTAGAAGTAGTCCTGCAGATCCAGGGACCACAGGTCAAAATCTGTAGTAGGGCGCTTAGTGAAGTCAGCTGTAGCTATTTGATTGGCAAACAAAATGTAATTTAATTTTTATCCTGTGAAGCTCTACTCCTTTTAGTTGGTTCTTTCTCAGAATTTGTGCATAGGTTTATGATCACAAAGTTCTCTATGGTATTAATTCAGTGTGTGTTAATTAGCTTCCAGGCATTTATTACTGCTTCACACTGGTGTCAAATCAGTACGGAGTTTAATCCTTCAATGTCTTTCCAATATTTAATCAGTTAGCTTCTTAAAAATTTCTTGGCTTCTCAGCTACTTCTCAAAACCAAAAGCAACTTTTGAGAATTAGAAGCCAAGGCAACATATAAATATATTCTGTAGTAAAATGCCATTAGCTTCCAAGAGAAAGCAAGGAAAGTTAGTATGAAGGAACACATTAGCACTGAATGACTTCCTGAATTCTAAGTGGTGACCTGCTGTTGCATTTTATATGTTAGTGTGGAACATCTCTTTTCCTGCTGGATAAGTATTCATAAGGCATTCATAATGCTGTCAAAATATTACCCAGGAGTGGGAAAAGCCCTGGTAAAGAAAGTTAGTGAAGGTCTTCTCCACCCAGGCAGTGGACTGGTTAGGAGCAGGCAGAGGCATGATCTGAGCAGTTACCAGACTGCACATCTGACCAGAAGTGCATCATGTCATTACGTTGGAGTGTCCGTAAGGATATGACAGGTTGAGTGGAGCCCTCCTACAGATAAATCCAATGCAGGCATGTTGAAAAATCTAGACAAAGGCTTACCTCATTTAGAGATCAACTTGTCTTTGGGTGACGTTATACCATACTGAATGTGTGTGGTAGCAGCATTGTTTTATGCTAGAAATGAATGCAGCCTTTTATTCAACTTTCACAATACACAGTGGAAAAAGCACATGTCAAAAGCTTTCTTAACATGGATTTTAAAGGTCTTGTGATACTGGTGCTTTCTAGTTTGACTTAGAATCTATGGTTTGCTTTTAATGCTCTTATTAGTACTGAAATCTTGTCTGGTTTTTTTTGTTCAATGTAGCCGAATGCAACAGCCACACTTCTCCTTCCCCTGGTATCCAAGTAAGACATGTTTATACTCCATCAACTACTAAGCATTTCTCACCAATAAAACAATCAACTACCCTAACTAACAAACACAGGGGAAACGAAGTCTCTACAACACCTCTGCTTGTAAACTGTAAGTATCCCTCTGCCTTACTAATTATTTTGTGAACTGTATGTTGAATACTTGACAGATTTTTCCAGGTTTTGGTGTTGCAATGAACTTCAACACAGGAAGAAAACACTTAAATTAGTCTTATCTAATATCACATGGTTTCAACCACAAAATAGTCATCCACCTTTTGTATTGAATTAATGACTGAAGCTTACTTTCCAGAAAGAATCTAATTATTGATTTAAATAATATAGGTAAAGATTTTTCTAATTTTTTTCTAAGCTGTAGGTTAATGTGCCTCATACACGTTTTCAGAATTTGTGCATCTTGTAAAATTTATTAAAATTAGATTATTAGAATACTGCAAATATGATTGTCATGGATCTTGAAAATCAAGAAAGTAGTATTATTTATGGGGGGGGGTTTCTGAATTTTCAAGCATTTTCTTTATAAATTAATTTGCTGTAATTTACTTTATCTGTAAATTATTTCCTCTATAAATGATAGGCCTTTTTTTTTTTTTCAAAAAGCCACTTGCATGGGAAAAATTAAGCTGGAGCTGCAGTGTAGGGCTCTGAATAAAATATGACGTCTATCTGAAATTTTCATGTAGTGACTGAGGACAGTCACATTTACAACTGATGTAACATTAGCTAATTTCATTATTATATAGTGTGGATGATTTATTACATTTTCCCTCCTGAGAATCTTTCAGGCCTGCTCCAAGTTGCAGTTAGGAAAACCATGAACCCATGCAGCTTGCTGTGGGATTGGAGATTTTTTTTCTTCATAATCTCTTAAGAATTATTCTGCTTTTAAGACATGGTACCTTATATTAAGGAATTAAAAAAAAATCCCACAATATTTTCCTTTCTCTGTCAGGTTGTATATAGTTTTGTAACGTCTGATCTATTCCACATTGTAGTGAGTGAGAGTCACACTAGAGGTTTTGTCCGTTGAATAGCAGGAGAGCTCTCCTGATGATATGCAGTGTCTTAGGTGTAATTTTTAAATTGTACATCCTTAATTTATCAAAATACATTTATTTTCATTTGATAAATGGTCTTAATGTGATCTTGGTTTGCTGACCAAGCAGTAGAGAAGAGTGTGGGAAAAGTCAGTGTGGGAGTATGTATCTTTGTTTTCAAATAAGACTTCTACAATGATTAAAAAATTACCTAAACCTATAGAACTCTTTGAAAACTTCAGTTTTTAAGAGAGTGATTTCAGTTCAGAGTACAAGGTGAAACCTATCTACCCCCTCAAATCCAAGATCAGTAGTGCTCAAGCCAAAGGATATGTTATACTCAGCTTCAGTTAGAGTAGAATGAAAACTGGTGTGTGTAACACATGCTTTTGCTTCCTTTTCTGCAGCTTTATCAGTCCATCAGCTGGCTGCTCAGGGAGAAATGTTATATCTGGCCACACGTATTGAACAAGGTAAGACAGAGGGAGATTAAGTGCCTTTCTTTTTCCTTTGGGCCATTTATATGCTGTTGTATTTGACCCTTCTTTAAAGCTATATTAAAAAAAGAAGTCCTCAGTTCTGGTACAAATTGAAGGACATTTGACATATCTGTGCTTTGCAGATATGGACTGTTGTTTCGCATCAGTCTGTTATTCACTCAGTGCTATGATTTGCATTTAAATTAAAACATTAGCATTAATAGGAGTAGTAGATAAATCCTTTCCTCTCACTCCTCTCAAGCTATAT